CACCAGGAGACGGTGAGTTCTAGTCCCGCCTTAGGTATGAAAGGCAGAAAGGAAGAAATATTTTGATATGTTTGCTGCCTTGAGTTATTTGTAAAAATAATAAAAAATTAGGATATTAAAAATATAAAATAAAATAATAAAATAATCAAATGCTAAAATATTAAGATGCTAAAATAAAATAATACTAAAATAAAATAATACTAAATTACAAAAAAACAATAAATACTGAAATAAAATACTAAAATAAAATGCATAAAATACTAAAATAAAATAATAAAATAAATAAAATAAAATAAATAAAATAAAAAGATAATAAAAATAAAAAAATAAAAACAACACCTGGCATTTTCGTGCACCTTAAACGTTTGGAATGAACGAAAGAATGAGCTGCACAGCGAGCCATCCAGAAATAGATCTATTCAAGTAAGGATAAGAAAATAAAACTCTAGGCTACACGTTGAGGGTTAACTAGTCAAAAACCGTCCCTGCGGCTCAGTGGATGGACTGAACGAAAGCTTTGCGTTCCACCTGCATACAGTATTTCTCAGGCAGCCCGGCGGCCCTGTGGAGAGAGAAAGGAGGAGGAGAAATTTCACCAACGGCTGAAACAAGGGCCTAGTCCTCATGGAGGGACAACACGCAAGGCAGCCCTCGACTTAAGGCTGGCTGCTTTGCGACCGTTGAGATGGATGACGGACCCAATGAAAGGTACCACATACCATTCCGGCACCATCCTGAGTAGCAGCCGCCAATTGGCCGGGGGTGGGGTGAGGTGGGTGGGTTGGATTGGATGACCTCCAAGGTCCCTTCCCTCTGTGTTTAAACCTGAACGTTCCCATTGTCTCCGGGAGTCGGTCGCGCTTACCGCAGCTCGTCCAGCTTCCTTCTCTTGATCTCGTTCAGGCGGTCGCTCCGCCGTCGGGCCTCCTCCTTCAGGCGCTTGCCCTCTTCGAAGATGGCGATGCGCTCCTGCACCTGCTTTTGCTGGTGTTCCCGCACCTGGCGCCGGAGCTCATCCGCGTGGGTCATCTGGAGGGCCACCCGGCGCTCGTGCTCCTTTCGCTCCTTCTCGATCTGCTCCCGCTGGATCCTGGGGGAGGAGAGAGAGAAGCGGCGGGCGCTGAAAGACAGCCTGGCAGCGAGCGAGGACTTAAAGAGAAGGTCGACCCCAGCGGTGGGGTTCAATGTTTTTTTTACTACCAGTTCTGTGGGCGTGGCTTTGGTGGGCGTGGCTTTGGTGGGCGTGGCAGAGGAAAGGATACTGCAAAATCCCCCTTCCATCCTCACCCCACTAACCTGCTTTCCAGCTCTGTTCTCCTATGCAGGGCAACCAAGGAAGACCCGGCCAATCAGCTGGGACTCGATGGGAGGCGGAGAATAGATATGGGGGCGGGGCCAGTCAGAGGCGGGATTGGCCGGTTCTCCAAACGACTCAAAATTTCCGCTACCGGTTCTCCAGGACTGGCTGAAAACCACCTCCGGTCTACCCGGGGGACGGAGAACCTCCACTTATGGCCACAAGGGAGCCCAGGGTGACCGTTCCCAAGTGAGTGTGGCCCAGTTTACGACCTTCATTGCCACGGTTGTTAAGTGAATCACTGCGGTTGTTAAGTCAGTAACGTTAAGTGAACCTGGCTTCCCCGTGGACTTGGCTCGTCCGTCGGTCGCCAAAGGGGATCATGTGACCCCGGGACCCTCTTAACTGTCATAAACCTGAGTTGCCAAGCCTCTGATATTTCGTCCCTGTGACTATGGGGGAAGCTGCAACGGTCGTAAGTGTGAAAAACGGCCGTAGGTCGCTTTTTCTCAGTGTCGTGGTAACTTTGGTTATTAAAATGAACGGTTTTTAAGTCGATAACTACCCATAATGTATTTTTTGGGGGGGAGAGGGAGACCTTCTCTGCCTCCTCCCTCCCCCAGTTAGTTGAACCCAATGCCCTGGGAGGATCCACGGGCTTATTTTTACAACGTTTCCCCATAGAAGGGAAAAGTCAATCTTATTCAACCTGCTGATCATCCATTTCGTCATCGATGACTCTTGCCAGCCTGCCTGGTTTGAGGATCTAACTGAATTTCCCCCCTTCCCAATCCGAAACTGACGTGTGACAACGAATTCATCGCGATGCCAATGGGTGGGACCCAATAGGACTTAGCCCAAATTAGCAATAGCACTTACACTTATATGCCGCTTCACGGTGCTTTTACGGCTCTCTCTAAGCGGTTTACAGAGCCAGTCTCTTGCCCCCAACAGTCCTCATTTTACCCACCTCGGAAGGACGGAAGGCTGAGTCAACCTGGAGCCTGCTGAGATTTGAACTGCCAAATTGCAGGCAGCTGGCAGTCAGCAGAAGGAGCCTGAAGTACCGCCCTCTAACCACTGCAGCACCGTGGCTCATTAAGAGCATATAAATTTATATTTTTGGCCCTAAAAAGCAAGCATAGTTCTGCTATCCTTGAACAGTTAAGTTTGCTTCAGGGCAGACGAAGACGGATGCAAAATTCCCATTTCACAAATGATTATCCGTCCTCTGAAACGATCTGCCGAGATTGGGGTTTATCAAATTTTAAGGGGTGAGGACTTCAACTCCCAGAATTCCCCAGCCAGCGTGTGGGTTGAAGTCGAGCCTTCTTAAAATGCATCTAGTATCATGTTTCTCAACCTTAACAA